AGTCTCAATCTTAATAATCTCTTCTCATATGGAAACCATTCCATACCCCTAATCATTTTTGTAGTACCTTTTCCAATTCCAATATATCTTTTTTGAGATGGGGAGACCAAGTCTGCATTCAAGATGTGGGCGTACCATGGATTTATATAGAGGCAATATGATGTTTTCTGCCTTATTATCTATCCCTTTCCTAATGATTTGCAACATTCTGTTAGCTTTTTTGACTGCCGCTGCACACGGAGCATGTTTTCACAGAACTCTCCACAATGACTCCAAGATCACTTTCTTGAGTGGTAACAGCTAATTTAGACCCCATCATATGTATAGCTGGAATTATGTTTTCTAATGTGCATTACTTTGCATTTATCAACATTGAATTTCATCTGCCATTTTGTTGCCCAGTCACCCAGTTTTGTGATATCCCTTTGTAATTCTTGTAATTTCTAATTTGAATTTGTCTAGCTGCAGCTTCCAGCCATTGGAAGAGCTGTCATTCATTTTTAGACCCAGATCTACCCCCTTGCTGTTATCTCTCATTTATTGTTATGAATTTATTTCCATCAGAAACACTGAATCATGAAGCTGAGATAAGGGAGAATGTTATTTATGCTCAAGTAATTAATATCCCATGATAAGCCTCCTGCATTGCCAGCCATATCTGCTACAATTCATGGGAGGGAGGATTGTTGCCAGAATGTATTAAGCAGCAGTTTGGCAGATGATGGAGAGGATACTTAATTAAGTTACAGAGAAACTAGATGAGCTTTCAATCTATTTATAAAAGTGGTAGCAGTTCCCATTTCAAGGCCAGTGAAAGGAAGACAAATACAGAGGACCCTGAGTCTGATCTCATGCATGATGACAAAATCAGGAGTAACTCCAGCACACTTAGACTGATGTAAGGTACAGGAGAATTGGCCACTGGTATTTTGTTATATAAATTCAAGGCTGAGTTCTGCTCTAGGTTATGCTAGGCCCAGCTAAATCTGGAGTGGCTCCAATGAAGCATAGTGAGTCACTCCAGATTCGTACTGGTGCAACAGAGCAGAACTTGACCCTTAAATATCAAAGGATGGGATAGCATTCGGAAGAGGATGGTTTCATTTGCACACCTTATTGAACGTGCCAAAATATACACAAAGCTGGTTTGAGGCCAACAAGAGAGTGTTGATAATATTTCTTCTACTGCAGTTAGGGCTTGATCTTACAATTCTTGCTCAAATTAGTATTACTATCAGCATTCATTGTTTGAATTACGGCAGCACCTAGAGGTCTCAAATGAGACCAGGACCCTGTTGTGCTAAGTGCTGTACAAACACATAGTGAGAGACAGTTTCCACCCCAAAGAGTTCAGTGTAAAGTCTCAGTGATGTCAATAGATCATATTCTGCTCTCTCTGCAAAGGCTGCAATTCTGGAATAACTCCTTTCAAGTCAATGGAATTACATTGACATAAGGGAGTGGTTCTCAGATACTACATTGACAAGGGCTACTTTCGTTCCTAGACAGATAGATAGATTAGATAGATAGATGGGGTGTATGGGGTTAGATAGATAGATGTAGTTATTTCCATTGTGTTCAAGTGTGAAAGTTTGGCCTGCTTTAGATAGGTCTATTATAAATCTGTTGTCTCAGTCGTTCTTATATATCTCATCAGCTATAACGGAACATATTAAAAGTACATGGAAAACCACAGAATGGTATTTTTTCCAGTATAGGAAAAAATGAAGCTCTCTAATAGCAGAAATCACACTGATGAGGCTTGGGGGACCACTTCAGCAAGTGCTTAATTTGAAACCCATGAGTAGGCCCACACAAATTAATCATCTAAGGACCTTGCAGAATAGCGGGGAAATTAAGGTGCTTGTGTCATCACACATGCCGAAAGGCCAATGCATTCTGAGGTAGAGTTATGCTGTCATTGGGCACAATGCTACATTTAACCAGCTCAGGGCTTGTCTGCACTACTGATGCCATGGGGCAAGGCCATGATGCCACAGTTATGCTGCTGTAGAGCCATAGTGTAGACACTTCCTACAATGCCAAAAGGGATTTTCCCATCGCTGTAGGAATCCACCTCTCCAGGTAACAGTAGCTAGGCTGATGGAAATATTCTTCTGTTGCCCTAGCTTATTCTATACTAGGGGTTAGGCTTGCACAGCCATACCTTTGTTAATCTAAATTTTAAGCGCAGACTAGGCCTTAGTGGTCGACGGTGTGGAGTGCTTTATTTTAGGAAGAATCCTAACAGCATACGGTGCACGATTTGCAGGTTTGACACTATTTTCAAAAGCAGTTTTCCAGGGCACTGAGCCCCAGGAATCCACAGGGTTCTCCCCTTTCGAGCTGCTGTATGGGAGGAGAATGAGGGGACCCCTGGACTTGATGAGGGACAAATGGGAGGTGACGACCCCTCCTGCTGGACAATCAGTGGTGGACCATTGTACTATCTGGGAAAAGCTCACTGAGCTCATGAGTTTGTCCAGGGAGAACCAAGCCAGGGCCCAAGAGAAACACAAGGTCTGGTAGGACCGCATGGAGTGTGCCCACTCCTATGGCACAGGGGACTTGGTGTTGGTCCTAATCCCAGTGTGGAATAATAAGCTCCACGTTGCCTGGACGGGCCCTTTATGAATTGGCCAGTTTATCTCAGGTGGGTATAGAACAGCAATCATCTTGAGTAGAGGCCTCAGGATCAAACCCCAGTGCAATCTTTGCAGCTCCCCATCCCTATAATCACACAGGAAGCTCCAGCTTCCCAGGACTTGAATGCTGAATAAACTGGACAGGTCAGTTCATTATGCAGAGCTTAACTGCTCCTCTGGAAGGTCTGAAATTACCTCTGCCTTGCAAAGATCAGCTCTGGTTTCACTTTCCACTTATTCTCCCTGACATCAGGAGCGTACTTAAGCCATGTACTGAAGGCTCCTGGAAAACAATTTTCACAGATAATTATTTCTTAGATGTAGGCAGCTTTCCCCTGTCCCCTCCTGGGTTTAGTCGTTTTTCTGTCCTGCTTTGTGGAACTAGAGCCCAACCCTGCTCCCATAGTAGTCACGTCCAAGAACTCCCAGGGGCTTCAGGAGCCCTTTAGCTAGGGGACAGCTGATCTCCAAGACAAAGCATTCCCAATATACTGGGAGATGTAACTGGTAGGTCAATGGTGAGCTCACCAAGATGTTACTGAGGAGTCCATGAACACCCTGGGATGGTATGGTTTGAGAGTGTCAGGACACTGGCCCTGATAGTCCTGTTAGGGCTCTTTATATGAGGGAAATACCTCTTCATATCAGTGGAAATACCTGGATGTAGTTAAACTCATGAAGCCACCTAATGTGGACACATTGAACCTGTGATAAACAATGCAGCTTACTGGGGTAAATCACACTCATGTGAGCCCCATTCTGAACCAGTGCAGTGTGTCTACATTAAGGGTGACATTCTAACCCCCCTGACATCAACAGGGGTTTTGCCATTGACTTTGGTGGAGCCAGGATTTCAACTCATGACCCAGATCCTCAAAGGTGTTTAGGCTCCCAATTTCCATTGTAAGCCTTTGAGAATCAGGGCTTATGTGTTTACACTGGCTTAACTATATGCTGTACTTATGTGAAAGCAAATTTCCTTTGTCTAAAGAAACCGTAAGGAAAAACAGCACTGAAACATTTGTTTTAAAGAAAAGCAGAGAATTTTGCATACAGTGAAGCAGAATAACAAGGTCACCTTTGGCACCTCTCCACCCCTAACTGGAAACACTTGATGTTCAGCTTTCTGCTCATCACCCCAGAGATTATTTAAAACAGATTTGTGTATGTGTTTAATTTCTAAAGCCTCGTGAACACTGTTCCCTCTAAGTTGTGCGCGTGTATGCGCGAACACAGATCCTAAACCCCGCGCACACGGCAAAACACCGCGCACACAAAAATTTGCATAGAAGAAATTTTTTGCACACACGGCCTGTCCAAAATTTGCATAGAAGAAATTTTTTGCTCACACGGCCTGTCAAAAATTAGAGGGAACATTGCTCGTGAACCAAATTCAGAGCTGTTGTAAGTGGATGCAATCCCAGTGATTTCAGTTACATCGAAGCTGCTTCTTCAAGAGCTGAATTTCACCTAGTGATTACATATAAACCCAGAATCAATGCCAGGTGGGCACAGAAATACAGATTAAGGTTATGTCTACATGGCCGAGCAGTTCAGACTACGGGGGTGTGAATTGCAGTATGCACTAGCATGTTGTAACTCCCCTGTGTGGACACTGTGGGTGCGAACTAAAAGATACCTAGTTTGCCTTAATGTTGCCATCTTTAAACAGGACTAAGTTAATGGAAACGAGGTATCTGTTAGTCTGTGCCCACAGCACCTACACAGGGGAGTTACAGCATAGCATGAGAGCGTATGCTACAATTCACACCCCCTTTGTCTAAACCATGGAGCTGTGTAGACAGCCCCGAGTCTCCTCCTCCCCACCCCAATTGCTCACAGAAGCAACATGTGGCCAGATTCTATTCTGTTACCGTTGTGTAAATCTGGAATATCTCCACTGAAATTGATAAGCAAAAGGAATACACCTTAACTGGTAGCAGTAGTATGCTTTTATCCTCTAAATGGACCAGACTTTAGAGAGGGACCTGGAACTCATTGCCATGGATCAAAAGTGTGGATTGAACCTGGGACATACAGGTCCAAAAACCATTATCATGGGCAAGATCTAAACAGCCCATGATGACAAGCCATACACTGAGCAGCATGGCTGTCCAAAACAATTATACCAGAGATGCCAATGTACCAGTTTGGGAAGAAAGCCTCACCCAGTAGGATGCACGTGATAAAGAGGCCACAACACAAAGCCAAGGTGAGAAATGCCTGATTTATCTCAGAAGAGAGACCCGTCTGTTAGATGTTTCAGCCTGTCGGAAATGAATCATGGTGGACACAGTTCAGGAGGAAAACTCTAAAACACCATGTGCAATCACTAGGAAGCTGGATACAGGAGGGGATTTTCCTTTCCTCTCTTTTAATGTAGCAGTAATAATGTCTACAGTGCATTGACTTGTAAATTAAGTGAAGGTACGAAACTACATTCTTCTTACTGAGATGGGAGATTGTTAGCTTGTTTTATGTTTTCTCTTTTTAAATATCCCCTGAAAGGGAAATAATTTTGACCGACCAAGGAGTCTCTTCTAGAGCAATCTGTGGGGGAACGTCAACAGTAATAACATCTCTTATCTAGCATGTCTTATCCATAGACCTCAAAATGCTTTGAAAATGTGGATAAAGTACCATTACCCTAGTTTTACAGATGGGAGAAACTGAGGCACAGGGCTATGGAGTGACTTGTCCAAGGTCACCCAAAGGTGGGTAGCAGAGCTGGGAATAGAACCCATATCTCTTGACTGCCAGGCTAGTACCCTAACCACTGGATCCCACTGTTTCCCCAGTAGGGGCACATGTATTGTCTATTGTCCAGTACAGATCCACGTGTTATACAGACATATCTGCCTTCACCTCTCCTGCTGTTCCATTGGCTCCATTCACCCCAGCCACCTCCCTTCCTTCATCTTCCACTTCCTGTTCCTCTTTTGCTGTCTCTGCTTCCCTGCCACTGCTCAGGAGGGTGGCGCTGGAGAGGTGGCGGAGGAGCCGGCCCTCTTGGAAAGATTCGGCCAGCTCCTTGGCACAGCACGTGGGGGTGTTGGTTTCGTAGGTGCTGTGAAAGCTGTTGTAGTCGACTTCGTAAAAGTCTTTCTCGAGGGTGAGGACGGGCGTGAAGCGGTGTCCCCATAGCACCTCCGTGTCCATGTAGGAGCTCCGGGCCTGGCAAGTCATCCCTGCGTCAGGAGAGGAGACAAAGACATATTAAATGCAAAGCTCTGTTGCATGCCCATGCTATCCTGCTACTATTTACAAGTGCTTTGGTGGATTTCCATACCTGCTGGCTCTGGGACATGGAAAAGGTCTTCTCGTAACGAGCCTCAGAAGAGGCTGTAGCACAAAAAGCCGAGTTTTCAAACACAGGGAACTGAACGGCCCCACTGCAGCTTCTGCAGACAGGTGGAATGTTTGCAGTCATGACCCTGGGACTTATGGGGGGCGGTGAGGTTTGATGGCACTAATTGTAGGCCAGAGTGGTTCTGGCATGGCCCCATACTAGATTCCCATCTCCCCTCACTGCTCTGCTGATGCAGGTCAGTCTTGACCTTCTGGCTAATCCAGTGCTGGGATCACACCATCTCTGCCAATACACCTCATCCCTGACCTGCCGTGTCCCCCCTACTCCAGCCCTGAACTCCCCCCGGCTCTGCCAAAACACATCAGGCCTGGCTTATATAGCACCTTGTTAATCTAACTTCGGTTCCCCCGACTGTTCTGTTGAAGCCCCCCAGGTCAGACCTACACAGCCCCCTGCAATTCCAAGTTCTCCCTGATCTAACTCAGCTCACCTGCAGCAAAAGCTGCTCTGCCATTCCACTAAGGCACCTGCATGTGCTAGGCACTGAGGGCCTGGAGCTAACTATAGGAGCCTGAACCGAAGCCCACTTAAGGCAATGGGAGGACCTCCACTGAATGAGACTGAAATTTGTCCAGCTTGTTCTCAGCCCAAGGCCGAGTGCTTATTTTACATATTCATATATTTTGGGGAAGTTTGAGGAAAACCCTTTCAAGGGCAAAAATTCAGTCTTGGAATAAGTGAAATCACCTGCCTATTGCAAGGCTGAATTCTGTCCCAAATATTTGCCTTTTGTTTGGTTTACATGGGTCACACTTCTGGAATTCATTCCAGGGAGATGTGGAAAGTTTGACCTCCCGACACTCTCACTGGTGCATGAGAGAGAGGCCTGCCTGGAATGAGATCAAAACATCTATTCAATTCAATTCCAAGCCGACGCTCCCCGATCTCATTCTCACAACCCAAACGACATTACCATAAGACGAAGGCTGTGGTGGGGGGAAATGTTAGTGTCGGGGCATTTATGGTTCAGGGAGAAATATACCATATGTCCTCTAACACCTGGGCACAACAGGAGACAAACAAGTTGGGTTAGGAAATGTCCCCATCCTGTCAAGCTCAGGTGTGGGAAGACATAAGGTACCTCTTCTCTCACAGCTGAGAACAGCCTATCATTCCTATCATTCTCTCCTCTCACAGCCTCAAGGGTCCTTCTCCTTTGGAGGCGCCTGTGGAATTCACATTAACATGACTGAGCTGTGCCTGTCCATCAGGACCCCATCCGTTCTGTTTTCTTTGTGGGTATTCCCCGCTGGTTTTCTTTTCCTTCATCCATGGATTGGTTTCAGCCCCTGGGCTGGAATGCAGCCAGAGAGGAGCACGGTCACTGGGTAGAATATACACTAAGTCCCTGTGCTGAAGGGTGGAACTGACTGCAAATGAGGGAGCTAGAGAGGTACCCACAACCACAGGGGTTAGCAGTGAGGGAGAAAGATTTGTACCTCCAGGCAGATAATATAGGCAGAGGGAGACTCAACTTGCTCCACTAACACAGGCATTTCCAGGGGGGTCTTCTCAGGGGATGCCCCATACCCTAGTCTACGGGAGCAGCACCATGGCAGTAGTGATGTGAGTACCTCCTACCATGCAGGCTTAGGCTTTTATAATGGGACAACCTCTCCCCCACCCCCCACAGTAGCAGTAATGCTTGGTAACTTCCATTTGGGCCTCTCAAGGGCTGTGCAAACATTAGCTATTCCCTTTCCCTCCCAAGTAGCATTATGATTTGTGGAAACTGAGGCATGGAGAAGTGAAGTGAGTTTGCCAGACAGCAAGTCAATGGCAGAGCCAGGAAATGAAACTACGTTCCCTGGTTTCCAGATCTATACTTCAAAGACCATATGGCAACCACGGGGTCAGTCATGGACCTATACAACTGAAATTCTGACTGCAACAGGGCCTGCCTTTTCTGTATAAACTCTTAGGGTCCAATTCATTGCTGGTGTAATTCCACTGAATTCAGTCAGGTTAAAGCTTAGTTACATCAGGGACAAATTTGGCCAGTTTAAAAAAAAAAAAAAGAGAGAGAGCGATCTTAAACTGTCTCTGTGGCTGGCAATACCCAGCAGCGGGAAAACCTTAGCGGATCAGTGTAGAGGCTGGTTTCAGAGGTGCACCCTGATCTGCACAGTGGATACAGTTATGACAAAGATGCCTTCATTTTCTGCACACTGCACCTTTACATTTGAAATGTATCATAGGAACTTATGTGGTCCTAACTACCATATTATCTGAGCACCTCACAGTCTTTAATGTATTTATCTTCACAGTCCTCCTTGGAGGGAAGGAGGTGCAGTGTTACTATCATATAAGTGGGAAACTGTGGCACAGAGAGGCTAACTGACTTGCCAGAGGCCACAGGGGAAATCTGTGGTGGAGCCAAGAACTGAACCTGGGTCTCCCGAGCTAGTACTAGCCACTGGAATAGCCTTCCTTTGTAGTAACGGTGCCTGCCTGCGCATTTTGTTTTCACAGCTGCTGTAACCTTTTAGAGAGCATGCACACACCTCCACCCTCTCTCCTGGACAGTCACACACACAGCTCTTGCCTGGAGACTTTACTTTTGTTCTTTCTTGTTGCTTTCCTTAACCTAAAACAAAAGGCATTCAGGCCAGTAGGTGTATGGCTGCTCTTTGTGCTTGGGGGAAGAAATGTAACACTTTGGGCTGCAAAACAGGGCTGGAAATTTCTCACACAGTTCTTTTCAAGGAGATTTCCAGAATTACTTGCTTCCAGGCAGGAACAACAAGTACAGTGTTAGTCACAGCGTTCTGGCACTTCTGCTTCCTGAACTGCCAGGAACCAGGAAGTGCAGAGGCTGCTGTGAAAAATAAAATAAGGAAGGAGGAAAGTTATCCCAACTGTTCTGAGCTTTGAGGAGAGGGTCTGTTTGAGATCTGGGCAACCATTCAGGAACGGGGATACAGAACAGTCTGCAGATCTCTAGTAACAAGCTTCTTATGGGCAGGCCAACGAGTGCCCAGACATAGATGCTACGGCACTGCACCATCAGGATAGACAGTGCTTGACATTCATTCCCTTATGCCAGGTTGGCATACAAGAGCAGAAGACTTATGTAGCTCTCAGGTCCTATCATGCTGCTGAGTACCCACCTGCTTTTCTCCAAGAGATGTGGGTCACTCCCCCGTCCCCACCCACCACCAGATAACACTAGCTTCTACCTACCCTCCTTATCCCTTAGTGAGAGGTTTTGTTGCAAGCCATTTTAAAACCTGGTGGGACATATTTGGGATGCAGGACTGGCTCAAAGATGCCTTTTACATATCTAGCGTCTCATGCTGGATTTTGATTTCAGTGGGAGTTAGGTACCTCAATACCCTTGACAATCTGGGCCTTAGAGGGCTGAAATTTGATCTAAAATGAGCAATGCTCCTCCTTGGACATAACTAGAATCCGCTAAGGTACCTAAATACTGCTGCTGAGCTGCTTAGTGCTCCAAATGCCCAGAAATGGTAGTGGGAGAAAGGGGCATTTTTCCCCCTCGCAGAATTAGGCCCTATCAGTGGATAAGCCATCTCCCAGCCTGGCTTTCCCACTGCTGACTAGATGCCAAGTATTCTATAATAAAATCTCAGCGCTCTTTGAATCATAGAAATGTAGGGCTTAAAGGACCTCAAGAGGTCATCTAGTCCAGCCCCCTGTGCTGAGCTCGGACAAAGTAAGCCTAGACCGTCCCTGGTAGGTGTTTGTCCAGCCTGTTCTTAAAATCTTCCAATGATGGGGATGCCATAGCCTTCCTTGGAAGCCTATTCCAGACCTTAGCTACCCTTATAGTTAGAAGGATTTTGCTAATATCTAACTTAAATCACGTGTGCTGCAGATGACTCCCATTGCTTCTTGTCCTGCCTTCAATGGACATAGGGAGGACAACGCTCAACTTCTTCTCCATAGCAGCCCTCACTGTATTTAAAGACTGTTCTCAGGTCCCCCACAACGTTCTTCTCTCAAGGCAAATCATGCTCAGTTTTTTTAACCTTTCCTCATAAGTCAGGTTTTATAAACCTTTGATCATTTTTGTTGCTCTCCCACGGACTCTCTCCCATTTGTCCACACCTTTCCTAAAGCATGGTGCCCAGAATTGGACACAGTGTCCCAGCTGAGGCCTCACCAATGCCGAGGAAAGCGGGACAATTACCTCCCATGTCTTACATACAACACTATGTTAATAGATCCCAGAATATTAGCCTTTTTTGCAACTGCATCACATTGTTGACTCATATTCAAATTGTGATCCACCATAACCCCCAGATCCTTTTCAGCAGTACAACCACCTAGCCAGTTATTCCCCATTTTGTAGTTGTGCATTTGATTTTTCCTTCCTAAGTGAAGTACTGTGCACTTGTCTTTACTGAATTTTGTCTTGTTGAATTCAGACCAATTCTCCAATTTGTCAAGATTGTTTTAAATTCTAATCCTGTCCTCCAAAGTGCTTGTAACCCCTCCCAGCTTGGTTTTATAAGCATACTCTCCATTCCCATTATCCAAGTCATTAATGAAAATATTGAATAGTACCAGACCCAGGACTGACCTCTGTGAGACACCCCTTGATACGTCTTCCTAGTTTGACCATGGATAACTACTCTTTGAGTATGATCTTTTAACCAGTTGTGCACCCACCTGTCATCTAGACTACATTTCCCTAGTTTGCTTATGATCAGATCAGAAGGGAGTTCCCCTCTTACCACCAGAGAGAGCCAGCCTCAGACATATAAAAGGAACTCCTGCCTTGCAATCAAGGTCTTGGAATAGCTCCTTTACTTGGGGGGAATACCTTACCCTGATCCTGAGCTCCACAGAAAC